GATCAAGAACTCATGAAATATCTAGAACAGACTATGATGAGTAGCGTAAGTCAGACACAAAAGGACAAACATGGTGTAAGGCCACTATTATTAAAAGTTAAGAAAAGGTAGAAGAAATCTTGGCAGTTTAACAGAAATGGGAGGAGAAGAAAAGTGTAGTGAAAATTAGTAAACAAACAAGTTAGGTGATGAGCAAGATGATATTAAAAAAAAAGGTTGATTGTACGTCATAAATATCTAATTATATTAATCAATGGTAATTAATGTTGTAAAACTAAGTGTATACGTGTAAAAGCCAATATGATTTGTATACCTTTACTCAAATAAAAAAATTAGAAACAGAGTAAAGACAAAAAATACAAAAATAAAATTAGCAAAGTGCTTTTCTTAAAATAAAAACATCAAAATCACCACTCTAAGAGAAAGAGATCAGCTGGCCCAGTGGACAGAAGGTGATGTTACCAAGTCAAAGGTGGGTGACTTCTAATCTGCGGCCCTCAGGCCTGTCTTTCATTGTTTTTGTTCAGACATTCCTCTAGGTCGTATAGCCCTGGTGTACAAGTTGCCGTACAGCAGTAACTTGTGGTTGCTGTGAGGCTGAACATTGTGACACTTATGTGTCAAATGTGTTAATGGCTGGTTACCCAATGCGGACAGAGAGTGGGGTGGAGCTCCCTGAGTAACACAAGTTGCAAGGAGGAGTGGCATCCACTTCCGTAGTAGCTTGCCTCAAAAAACCCTATGAACCTGGAGAGAGGATGAGAGACACCCAACCTTCGAGGACTGTCCTTCATAGGGTCACTATGAGTCACCTGCGACCCGACAGCACTTAACAACAACAACACAAAGCTTAAAAAGCATATTAATAGAATGAAAATAAAAAATTGTCAGAATTTGTGAGGATTTAGAGAGAAGTTTCCAGCATGAATGAATTTTTTAAGAAACAAGAGAGATCTGAAGTTAGTAATCTAACCTTTCAAAATCACAAGAAAGAAGATTTATTTAAATCTAATCTGAAGAAAATACATAATAAAGATTAGAACAGAAATCAATGAAATTGAACACAGAACATTAATAGAAGAAAAACTAATGAAAGAAAAAGTTGATTCTTTGAAAAAGTTTGTCACTGCATGGTTCAAAATCGGGAAGGGTGTCCTCTAGAGATATATTTTGTCTCCATACCTTTTTCAATCCATGTGCAGAAAAGATAATCCAGGACGCTGGGCTGTACAAGGAGGAATGTCAGGATTGGTGGAAGATTCATCAACAACCTGTGTTATGCAGATGACCCAACCCTGCTTGCTGAAATTGAGGAGGACCTGAAACTCTTGCTGCAGAAGGTCAAGAACTTCAGCCTTCAATATGAATTGAAGCTCAACATCAAGAAAACAAAGAGTCTCACCACTGGGCCAATTGCCAGCATCATGATTGATGGTGAAGAAATTGAGATAGTTAACAGCTTTAGTTTGCTTGGCTCCACAGTCAACACTCTTGGTACCAGCAGCAAGGAAATCAAGAGATGAATTGCACTGAGAAAGCCATCTGTGAGGGATTTCTCCAACATACTGAAGAGCAATGACGTCAGGCTGGAGACTAAGGTGTGTCTGATCTGGGCTATTTTTGTTGTTATGTGCTGTCGAGTCGTTTGCAACTCATAGCGACCCTATGTACAACAGCCCTAAACCCTGCTCTATCCTGTGCCAATCGCACTGCCTCTGACACACCCATCCCGATTACCCCAGTCACTGAATCAATCCATCTCATAGAGGGTCTTCCCCTCTTGCACCATCCCTCCACCCTCCCAAGCATGATATCCCTCTCCAAGGACCTGTCCCTCCTTGCAACATGCCCAAAGTATGTCAGACAAAGCCCCAGAATCCTTGCCTCCAAGGAGTAGCTTGGTTTAACCCTCTCTACGATGAATCTGTTTGTTTCCTTGGCAGTCCAGGGTACATTCAATACTCTTCTTCAGCACCACAGCTCAAAGGCATCAATTCTCCTTCTGTCCTCCCTAGTCATTGTCCAACTCTCTGATGCATAACAAATGATTACAAAGACCATGGCCTGTATCAGGCGCACCTTAGTCTCCAGAGAGACACTGTTGCTCTTGAGTACTTTAGAGAGGTCCCTAACAGCAGACTTTCCCATTGCAATACTTTTTTTTATTTCCTGGCTGCTGGTGCCAAGAGTGTTGATCTGGGCTATAGTATTTGCAAATGTGTGTTATGTATCAGAGAGCTGAACAGTGACTAGGGATGATAGAAAGAGAATTGATATCTTTGAGCTGTGGTGTTGGAGAAGAGTGTTGAATATACCATGGACTGCTAGGAGAACAGGTTGGTCCTGGAACGAGTGAAACCAGGCTACTCCTTGGAGGCAGGGATTCTGAAACTTCGTGCGACATACTTTGGGCATTTTGCAAGGAAGGACCATTCCTTGGAGAGGGACATCATGTTTGTGAGGGTGGAGGGACAGCGCAAGAAAGGAAGACCCTTGATGAGATGGATCGATTCAGTGATTGGGGTAATGGGAGCAGGTATGTCAGAGATAGTGAGGTCGGCACAAGATAGAACAGAGTTTAGGGCACTTGTACATAGGGGTTGCTATGAGTCACAAGTGACTCAGTGGCACATAACAACAGTCAGACAAATCAAGAAAAAAAGAAAGGCACAAATTACTAACATAAATAGAAGAATCATTACCCATAACTGATCCCATGAATATGAAAAAGATAATAAAGGAATATATAATGCTATGTCCACTAATTTAATAGATGAAATGTAACAACTCACTGAATGACTAAAGATCAAAGAAGAAACAGATATGGGTTTATTAAAATTATCTACTAAAGAAATGGAATCAATAATAAAACAGTGTGCCAAAATAGAAAACAACAGGACATTAAAAGGCAAAGAAGGCCCCATCCTAGAAGATTTCTGAAAATGGAGAGAAGAAAATGAACAAGACCAAGGGAAAAGGAAAAGTTAGAAATTTCAAGGTTAACTCATAGAAACTGAAAGGATCCTTTCTTTTATTCTTCAAGGTTGAAACAAAAGACCAGAAAGAAAGTAAATTATTGATCACTGACCATTTTTTCCCTTAAGATTTTTCATAAAATTAATGAAATCTAAGCTTCTAGACTCCTCATACCTGACAAGCCATCCACGAAACTACCATCAGGTTTGCCTGCTAAATAGCATTCATTAGAGGAGCAAATTGAGGCCCAGAATTCAACCTAGCATAGACAAATTTTTATTTATGCTTTATGGAGTGAGTAATTACTGTCTTCTAGTATTGAATCAGGTGCCAAAAACTTAAAAAGGAATAAAGAGTGTGCTGGCTAGAGAAGTAAGCGTGCCAGGCAGACAAAACAGATACGTAAATAAAAGAGTAACCTTAAAATAAGGAGATAAAGGATTTAAAATCCAGATCTCTTGCATATACCAAGACCATTCAGTATTTGTGATGAATCAACAATCAAGGAGCAAGCTCAGATCCTCACTGGCTTTCTGATAAACTAATTAAAGAAGAATAGCTATGGGGACTCTGGTAGTCTAATGGTAAGGAGCTGCGCTGCCATACCAAAAGGAGGCAGTTCAAAACCACCAGCTGCTCTGTGAGAGAAGGATGGACAATTACCTCCTATTCAATATACTGAAAACTCACTGGAGGGTCAGCTATGAGTCAGTTACCACTGGATGGTACACAACAACAATAAGCTATTGATCTGGACCTATCCCTTCTGGGTTTTGACAATTGTCTATTCCTTTGGAGACTTTTCTCTTTTTTTTTTGACTCAAAAATTTCATAGAATTTTCTGTGTAGGAATTACCCTAAGAAGTGTATATAAACAAAGTAATTTCATTTTCACTGCTATGAGTTTTACAGAGAAAAGGAAGCAGTAAGAGAGACAGATTGATTTTAAAGGACTAGTTCAGCGTTTGGTAGTGGTGGGAGGGAAGGCTGGTAAGTTCAAACTCCATCGGTCAAGTGACAGACTGCAATCTGATGATGTCCCAGAATCTGCAGGGCAGGCAACAGGAAGTGTGAAAGGGCGAGAGTTCTGGCAAGACATCTACTGTATGTACTTCAAGTGGAGAAAGAATTAAGCTCAAAGAAGCTTCATTTCTTTCTAAGGATTTTTAACAGACTGTATGAGACCCACCCGCATTGTGGAGGGTAATCTGCTTTACTTCAAGCCTCCTGAATTAATCAGTGTGAATACATCATCGCAACATCTAGATCAGTATTTGACCAAACAACTGAACCATCACAAGCGTACAATAAGGAAGTCTGGTGGAATTGTTGGTAGAGAGTTGTGTTGATAACTCAAAGGTGGCATCTCTATGGCCACCTAAATCCAGCAAGAGCTCTTCAGAAGAGCAATGGGCAAGCTCCTCTCATGTGATTTACAGCCTCCAAAAACTGCAGGAGGGCCAGCTATTAGTTGGTTCCAACCTGACAGCAATGAGTGAGTAATTGTATAATACTGTTGTTGTGTGCCATCAAGATGAAATCTACTCATACTGACCTTCAAGTGGAGTTTCAGAGGTTGTAATTCACACAGGTGGAGATTGCCCCTCCTTCTCCTGAAGAGTGGCTGATAGATTCAAAGTGCATGCCTTTGGGATTGCAGTGCAATTTCTTACCACGAGGCCTCCAGAGAAGATATTTGTGCTGGTCTCTTACAGCACTAATAAAACAGGAAACAGAAACTTGGACAAGTTAAGCACTTAAACAAAAACCATACATTGGGGTGCTTTTAACCCCAGCTTTCTTGCCACTCTTTTGCTTCACTTTCTCCCCAGAAACCCAGTCCGAGTCCCCTTCACATCCACCCAGAGTCAACGTAGAGCCCTTCCATTTAACAGAGCAGGATTTCAAGTCATACATACCACTTACTTTCATCGAGTATGAGTCATGTGTCACAGTTTTAAAAGGGGGAGGTAAAAAAGGATTCATTAAAAATGTTTAAAATCTGATCCTTCTCGGTGTTCGCCATGGCCCGAGGTCCCAAGAAACACTTAAAGAGAGTTACAGCGCCTAAGCATTGGATGCTCGACAAGCTAACAGGAGTTTTTGTACCTCATCCATCAGCGGGTCCCCACAAGCTCAGAGAATGTCTTCCTCTTATAATATTCCTACGCAATAGGCTCAAAAACGCACTGACTGGAGATGAGGTAAAGAAAATATGCATGCAGCGCTTCATCAGAGTGGAAAACAAGATTCGTACAGATATCACATACCCTGCTGGATTCATGGATGTTATCAGCATTGAGAAGACAAGTGAGCATTTCCGCCTCATCTATGACACCAAGGGTCGTTTTGCTGTTCACTGTATTACAGAAGAGGAGGCAAAGTACAAACTGTGCAAAGTGAGGAAGATTTTTGTGGGTACAAAGGGAATCCCACACTTGGTGACTCATGATGCTCGAACCGTTCGTTACCCAGATCCACTCATCAAGGTGAATGACACAGCAGTGATTAATTTAAGAACAGGCAAGATAACCGACTTCATCAAATTTGACACTGGCAATGTGTGTATGGTGATTGGTGGAGCAAATCTTGGCCGCGTTGGTGTGATCACCAACAGAGAAAGACATCCTGGTTCTTTTGATGTTGTGCACGTGAAGGATGCCAACAGCCACAGCTTTGCCACCAGGCTCTCCAACACTTTTGTCATCGGCAAAGTACTTCCCACGAGGGCAACCAGGACCAGCATAAACTTCATGAACTGGTGGTACATAGTCCTCACAAAAAAGGAAGCTGATGGATGTCACCGCTAAAAGGCTCTACTGTTGTTCCAGTAATCAGTCAAGAAGTTCCATCATTCTTGGGGTTTCATAATTATTGTCTGGGGTATTTTCACTCTTCTTAGTAAAAAGAAAATTAATTTGGAAAAAAAAAATGTTTAAAATGTCACATGCAGCTTCTGCAATGTTTTGTTTCGCCTGGGGACACAGGTCACTGAGATTCAAGGAAAGGGCTGCTCTTCAGACCTGAAGTTTCGGAAGAATCTGAATTGAGTACGGTGTAAATAGTTGGGATTATTAAGAAAGAGATTAGTAGAAAACATTCCCTAACTCCTAGTGTTGTTATTATGTATTGTCAAGTCAGTACTGACTCAGCCGGCTCTCTCACAGGGAGTAAATCACATAGGAGATTTCTCATATTTCTCCTGGGAAGCAGTTAGTAGATCTGAGAGCACTTCTTGCCACTGACCCACTAGAGCTCGCTCTGTCCCACAAAGCTGACAGAATCTCACTCCCTCCGACGGGGAAACTCTGGTGGCCTACTGGTAAGGAGCTGCTCTGCAATCCCGCACGTGGTTCAAATCTACCAGCTGCTTCACAAGAAGAAGGATGGGCAATCTCTTGCAGTGTGATTGAAAACCCACCAACGTCCAACAATGGGTTAGTTCTGACTCGATGGTATACAACAACAGCAACATCCTGGGAACTTCCAAGCCTCTCCTTTCTGGCATAGATAGTCTCAAAATTATGTCCTTGTATTGTGTCAAGGTTTTCTACATCATCCTTATTCTTTTCCCCCTAGAAGGCCTTGTCTTCACACAGAGGATGTTGTCTCCTTCAGGAAGCCCATCCTACACCCAGGCTAGGTGAGTGGTCCTTCCTGCGCACTGACCACATGGTACATACCATGCAGGCTTTGCCCCTCCCCCGGCCTGTCACTTTGTGGTACTATAGTGGTATGAATGTTGCTATGATGCTGGAAGCTATTTCACTGGTATTTCAAACACCAATAGGGCCACCCATGGTGGATAGAGTTCAGAGGCTCTTCCCACAGACTTCGACTAGGAAGGAAGGTCTAGAAAGAGTATCTGAAAAGTAGCCAAGCTTCTATGGATCACCACAGAATATTGTCCAATATAACACTGGGAAAAAGAGCCCCTAAGTTTGAAGATACTCAAAATATAAAGCATACCACGTTTGTGAAAAGATTGCAGGATGGGCAACATTTTGTTTCGTTGTGTATGGAGTCACTATGGGTTGGAGCTGGTTCTACAGTAACAATTCCGTGCTTGTCTGCCTTTCCTCCCTAGCCTGTGAGCTTCCTGAGAGCAATGACTGACTTTTGACCTCTGTCGCCCCAAAACTGAGCCAGTGCCTAGTTCAGAGCAGATGTCAAATAAAAGTTGGCTAACCTGAGTCACTCCACCCACAATCTATACACACATATTCCTATCCTCATTTTTAACTCCTTTCTGCTACTGGAGACCTGTCCATCATTCTATATTTTCACATAGAAGTTTGGGCTAAGCAAAAGAGGTTAAGGAGATTAGCATCAAGTGGGTATTTTTTTAATAGGCACAATAATTTGGTTTTTTAATCTCAAATATTTTGAATGGCCTTGAAGATGCTAGCAAAACGCAAGCCCCACAAGGAACCATTTCAGTATCACAGAGCAGCCGTTTCCCCGTTCCCGTATGTGAGCGACTGGAAACTGAAGTGCAGATTCTCCCTCTCCACCTCCCAAGAGGATTTTCCAGTCTCCCATAGCTGATTGGCGCCAGGGAGGGAGAGCCCCCAGTGCTGAGATGACAGGAAGCCGGGTGGCATAATCTGTCCTCCACCCCACAAAAGACAGGAAATCCAGAGCTGAAGGTTGAAAATCTGACCTCAGTTCACCCCTGCATTGTGTTAGGCCCAGAATGAAAGAATGGACTGCACAAAGGCCTCTAAAGAAAGCGATTAGGGCCTGGCCCCCATGGCGAGGGAGAAATGAGACACTGCCCAGCCCCACGAGGCTGGATGGAAGCCTTGTCCACAGCCGAGCGGCTCCTGAAGACGGCCTGGTGCTACCTTCCCAGAGATCCCTGGGAAGGGGCACCCATCAACTCCTCCAAGGGATCCTGGAGCTGGCTCAAGCCAAGTCAGGCTCCTCGGGTACAATGGGGAGACTCAGCACAGACCTTTGTCCTCTGCTCAGCAGGCCCCAAAGGAGAAGGGGCGGTGAAGTGGAAAGAGCAGGGCCAGAGACCTACGTGCTGTTCCCAGTTCTGCCATCCGTGTGGCCTCCTTTATCCACCTGTACTGGCTCAGCTTCAGCTTCCCCACTTGTCATGTGAGAATGAAAAATGCCTACCCACCTGCAAAGGAGCCCTTCGCAAAAGCCTGGTTAAGGGTCGGGCTAACGGCAAGTTTACTCTGCAGGGTAAAGATGAAGCAATTGGCTCTATAAAGATTTCTGGCATTGGACACCTTAGAGAACAGTTCTATTCTGTCCTGTAGGGTCACTTGAAGTGGGTTAGGGTCAAGGAGCCCTAAGTGACACAACACAACAGGGAGCTCTGGTGGCCCAATGTCAAGAAGCTGTGCTGCAATCTCAAAGGCACAAGGTTCAAATCTACTAGCTACTGTTCCTTTATCATGACTACAACCTAGAAAAGCCTTTGGCATTTGGGGTCACCATGAATCAGAATCAACTCTAGGAACCTCACAACACACACACACACACACACACACACACACACACACACAGTCAAATGAACTAATAATGGATAGCAACCATCCTTAAAGCCTGTGTTTATGCTTTTCTGTTTCCACACTCCTTTGAGGATTTCAGTTTCAATTTACCTTCATTACAACATTGTGATACTGCTATTATTAGGCATTATCACCACTCCCTTCTACAGATGAGACCATTGACCTTAGAGATATCAAATGTTGATGCAATACAATAGAGAGGAAAAGTAAGTGTGTACAGACCTATTGTAGCACTGTCTCCAAGGATCTGGGTTCTGCTTAGTCAGGCTGGCATCCGAGACTGTTGGTCTGCCACTTTCTTAATGGCAAGGCCCACCTCCGAGAGCTCTCTGTGGCACCATGTGCCTCACACGGCCACACATGCCGTGCACTCTGCCAGGCCACACATGCCGTGCACTCTGCCAAGAAGGTTGGCGGACACGATTGAACTGGTAACAGACAAAGCCAAGAAGCAAGAGCTGGGTCCTGAAGATCTAGCCTTGTCTACTCAGGTTTTGCCTGGGGTCTCTTAGCTAATTGAGTCATTTTGTTTTTAAACAGTGATATTGTTATGCTGTTATCATGCTCTGACGAGGCTGAACCAATTCTTAGCTGAGCCTCCAACAGGTTTTCAGAGGCTGTAAATCACACAGGAGGAGATAGTTAATCTGCTTCCTGCAGATCAGCTGCATGTGTTAGGTTCGGCAGCACAACTCCGTAGCATTAGGCCAGCAGAGCACCCTCTAAACATTTTCTGACAGTCATCCCAATTCCAGCTGCCACATATGCATGTGAAAGTTAGACAATGAATAAGGAAAGTAAAAAAAAAAAAACCACCAAAAAAAACCCCAAACAAAAACCAAAAACCGATGACTTGTGGTGTTGGCTAAGAATACAGAATAAACACTCTTGGGAAAAGTGCAGCCAGAGTGCTCCTTAGAAGCAAAGGGGGTTAAATTTAACTCACATACTCTGGGCATGTTACCTGGAGGGGTCAGTCCCTGAAGAAAGATACCATGTTTGACAAAATAGATGATCAGTTTAAAAGAAGACCTTCAGTAAAATGGATAGATACAATTTTTGCAACAATGGACTTAAGCACAGCAGAGGTTGTGAGAATGGTGTAGATCGAGTAAGGTTTCCGTCTATTGAACACAGGGCACTAGAAATCAGAGATGATCCAGTGGCAACTAACAACAACAACATTTTTAAGATAGTATCACATGTCTTGGTACTATATTAACTCCTTTACCCTTCATAGGTCGACACTCCACGGTCAACACTCTTGATACCAGCAGCCAGGAAATCAAAAAACGTATTGCAATGGGAAAGTCTGCTGTTAGGGACCTCTCTAAAGTACTCAAGAGCAACGGTGTCTCTCTGGAGACTAAGGTGTGCCTGATACAGACCATGGTCTTTGCAATCACTTGTTATGCATCAGAGAGAGACAATGACTAGGGAGGACAGAAGGAGAATTGATGCCTTTGAGCTGTGGTGCTGAAGAAGAGTATTGAATGTACCCTGGACTGCCAAGAAAACAAACAGATTCATCCTAGAGAAGGTTAAACCAAGCTACTCCTTGGAGGCAAGGATTCTAGGGCTTCATCAGTCAGACTTTGGACATGTTGTAAGGAGAGACAGGTCCTTGGAGAGGAACATCATGCTTGGGAGGGTAGAGAGACAGCGCAGGAGGGGAAGACCCTCTATGAGATGGATTGATTCAGTGAGTGGGGTAATCGGGATGGGTGTGTCAGAGGCAATGCGATTGGCACAGGATAGAGCAGGGTTTAGGGTCGCTATGAATCGCAAACGACTCGACAGCACATAGCAACAACAACACCCTTCATAGAAACTAAGTTTCTATTAGACCTGAGACCTGCAGAAACAAAAGAACTGAACTAGCACTCTGCTGCTTGTGTTAGGTGCCATCAAGTTGCCTTGACGTATGATGACCCAATGAACAACAGAGCCAAATCTTGCCTGATCCTGTACTGTCCTCACAACTGCCTCTGTGCTTAAGCCCTCTGTTGCAAGCACGTATTAATTCATCTAACTCAGGGTCTTCCTCTTCTTCACTGATTCTCTACTTTTCTAAGCATGAAATCCCTTTGCAAGGACTAGACTGTCCAGATAAACCACCCAATGTATTTGTTATGAAGTCTCACCATTCTTGTCTCACAGGAGCATCCTGAAGGCACTTCCTGTAAGACAGATTTGAACTGAAAACCTAGGCAAGCTGATCCCAGGGCTCACCTTTTAAACCATGTCACTACCCAGACTGTAGGAGAGGACAGAGATTT